CTTACTAGTAGTAACAAGAAGCTAGTAGAAACAAGTGCCACGCTAGTGAGTTGCACTATGGATGCAATCTGTAGTTTGCAACGTCAAGTGGATGGCAACGTTCTAAAGTCGATGGAGGTTCGCAGCCCCAAGGCCCATGTGCATCAAAAACCCTATTTGTGGAAGAAAACGGACACAAAACCAGCACAACTCTGTGGAGGGCGTTTTGAGTTTTTTGTGAAAAGTAGCAGATTCTGCGGAGTCCTCAACGACACTGCTAGTAAAAAAACAAACAAAAAGGTTGTTTTCTGCAAACAAGAGAGTTGATGGAATGATGGCTTGGCATATCTCGATAGAAAACTACTTTCAATTCAATCCATCTCTGCAGGTCTGACCTAGACTGATGGGATTGGCAGAACCTCGTTCGGAACTTCCCGATTCTTGGTTCTCGGTTCGGAACTTCTCGGTATAAGCAGAATAAATGGCATCAAACATCGAAAACGTCGGAAAGCACTCAGCATGAGAACCAGCAAGCCAGTTGGTATCTCAACTAACCAGCCCACGCCCTACTACCTGGTCATGTTGTCATTCTGCTCAAACTATTTTAAAAAGTATTCCAGCAAGGGAGGTGACCCCTGGAATGATTACCCAGATTGCTACTCTATGCCTTTGACATCCTTAAGTCCAGCTGCAAAGGCAGAGCCTCCCTCGGAAAACTGGATCATCACTGGACGGTTGAGTTCCTGGGGGACAAAGGAAATACATGGTGCGAGCCAAATGACGAGGCAAAAGGCCGTGGGAATCCCATGAAGACGCTAAGTTTTGGTATTTAAATGGACAGCCATGCTGACAGCATATGCATATGAACATCAGGAATCAGGCATCCCGTCCTTGCCCGCTTCGAGGACAGAGTTGATGGTGCTGGAGCCTCGTTCAGTGGCCGGCATACGCAGGATTTGTACATAAGCTATCACAAGCACCAAAGAACACCAAAGATTCTTCACTCACTGGTCACCAGAGCAGTTCAGCTCTAAGCTGGTGCAGTTGAAAGCTGGGATGGCATACTTGTGTTCCTGTGAATGAGCGAAGAGACATTACAAATCCCCTTTCCAATGTCCTTAATGTGATCCAGAGCTCTCCTTGGCATGCTGCAAGAGAGCCCAAGCCAGGTCTCCGGTGACCACGCCAGCCTTTGTTTGAGCTTGCCACTGCACAATAGGTGGGTGGAAACTCGTGGCCGAGCCTTCATGCCCGGAATCTCCCAGAACCTTAGCAGCTGCCAATGGACCTTCTTGCCCACTGAATATCAAGGTATATCAAGCATACGCTGCAGGGCTTCACAAGTCAGCTTCGACATCTGGAGTCTTCAGCCAGGCGGCGACATGTTGCGCCACCCAGGATTTTGATAAGGGCACGTGCTTTCTCCTTCAGAAAATCGCTGCGTCACTCGCGTGCTCTGTGGAGCCTTGGGCAGCAATTGCTTGCAAGAACAACGCTCAGCAGAAGAGTTGGCTATTGCAACAGTAGAGTAACACTGCAACTAAGGTTTGACTGAACCGCTGCTTGCCTTCACAATCAGATGCAAGCACAACCGCACGTAGGCAAGGCAAAGCAAGTAAAAGGAGCTCCTTTGACATTTGCAGCACGTGTTCGGGAGAGGTGCAAATCTTGGCAGGAGAAAGCGGATTCGGCAGCAGCATCCGCCACCTACACGTCCCTTCAATCAGAGGGCCCTCTTCCATCCTGACCTCCGACTCAAATTGAAAAAGCATGACCCCCTGCAAGTCCCAGATCCGTATGCATGAGCGGTGTTGATAAGTTTACACCTGCTCCTTGTTCGGTCCTACATTCACATGTGTATTACACCATGCTAATTCATTCTCTGTTGACACCGTGTACGCTCAAATGTCGTTGTAGTCACATTTTGCGTCTTACCAAGTCTAGCATGTTTCTAACCCTCTGGAAACCCCCGCAAATTTTGTGGACGTATTGTGAAAGACACTGTAACAAAATGGCGATGGGAAGGAAAAAATGAACGTGACTGGTGGTATTTCACACAATCTCGGGAAGCACCCAATTTCCCCCGTAAGGCATGGGGACCATGATCCGTAGTGTGGAATTGTGCGCATGGTAGCATCAAAGCAAGGGGTGATGGGGCATGAGGGCAGAAAAGAATCAAACAATCTACGGATGAGGAATGTGGAAACATATTGGTCGATGGTTGTTTGTCAATCTGATGTGCTAAACACAAGACTGAACTCTGAACGGAATGAACTCGGACTGCAAAGTCGGTCCCACAAATAAAGAAATACATTCACACCAGAATGTGCAAGTGCTGGCATTGCACTGCGTGAATGTTGAAGCGCAAAACAATCTCACAATGCAATAATCCAAGACAATCACTACGTTCCAAAATTCACCCAGTTTGTTTTGCCTAGGGTTAGACATCGGGAATCGGGAACACGAACATCCACACAATGCTTGAAATTTTGTGGCAATCACTTTTTGACCTTTGAAGTGCAGATTTCGTGGCAGGCGCAACTTTGCGCAGCTTGATGCGCAGGTATCGTGGCAAGCGCAGCGCTTTGTGGACCTGAAACAATGCGCCGTCTATTCTATGCGCTCTTTGGGCCTACGGTGTGTGTATACCTGTGCCCCACCTGACATGTACATCCCATGACTCCACTGGAAACTTGTCGAAATCTGACACGGCCCCTATGGCAGATGGGACACAGTGTGCACATGGCCTGATGATCCTCGTGGCACGGTCTTTAAAGGCATGCATTGACTAAGGTGACTGCGCCGAACTGCGTGAACTTTGGTCGCCGAACCTTTGCTGAATGCTGTTCGCTTCAATACATTGGCACGAATGAAGACGGTGCCAACAAGCTTGCCCCCAGGGCTACACTTGCCCCATGCACTATCCCACATTGAGCTTGCCCAAACCTCCAGTGGACCCAGCCCTCCACCAGGGTCATCGTCAACTCGAGGAATACCGGAAGGAAGTATCTTTTAAACAAATTCTGCTAAGACAATTCATATAATTTCAATTACCAAA